GCTCTTCCCAAATCCAGAGCCGGTGTCTTGAGCACCAACCAGCAGAGAGTTGACAGATGACCACGTACTAAATCACACCCAAGGAGCTCATGACCAGCATGTCAACACCATTGAAGAGAGGGTGACGCGCTGTGTTTCTTTGAGCCCAGCTACTAATAGGTGTCTTAGGCGGAATTTAACCTTTTCCACACGCCTTCCAGTCATGTTGGTGACCTTTCCCAGCATCCAGCTGCCTACTAAAGAGAAGGAAAAGTGCCTTAGAGATGTGGAGAAAACTCTTCAGCGTTTATAACAAATGTTGTCCCTTCCTCTGTATTGCAGGGAGGCTTCTGAAACGGTCTACAAACCCCACACTGAGTTACGCATCCTTTGGTGTTACCATGCTACCTACGCTCTTTTTTTTTTTTTCTCACACTGAAATGCCTTCATAGAAATAACTGAGGGTATGACGCCTTTTAAGAGCTTGTCTATAAATAGCCTTGCTCCTAGAATAATTTTTCCTTGATGTTTGAAAAATGTTGTTTAGGGAGACAAAGTATTTTTGACTTTCTGCTTTCCTGGTTCCCTTCCTGCACTGAAGAGCTGTGGAATTGCCAGCTACTGTATTTTGTCACTGAGTGTGAAAATTCATTGGGGTGTTAACTCAAGGCAGCTGCTTCCTTGTATTTTTGCCTTACCTTACGTTTTTGCAGCCCTAGTGCCCCTTCTGCCAAAGGCTGACTCGCTGTTATCAGAGCGTGACTTCTTGTGGTGGATGCTGCCTGTGTTTTACAAGTGGTGGAATAACGGGGAGGGAGAAATTCGGGGGCTCACCTGCAGTCTTGGCGAATTGCTCTGAGTTAAGAGTAGAGCCCCTGCCTTTAGAACTGGCTCCTTCCCACGGGCACAAGCATCTTGCACAAAAGCTAAGAGCTTCTGCAAAGTCTAGCGTAGGTTACACGGGCCTTTTTTTTTTTTTTTTTTTTTTTGAGTACGGAGCTTGTGTGTGCTTTTATCAAGGTATCTTGCCTTGCACCCTCGCTTACTTTATGGGTGTACCAGTGAGGTATTTTCCAGAGCCAGAATGAGGTGGGCTCTGCTCACTCATCTTTTCCTTTTTCCTCATGCAGGCGTTATTTAAACAAAACCTCCGATGAGGAGCTGACCCCCGAGAAGCCCTCTCCTCCACCCGAGGGAGCGTCCGCCGATCCCGTCACCCTGCGTCGCAGGACGCTGGCTGCCGCCGCCGAACGGAGACTTCAGATGCAGCAAAACTCTTAGCGCTCGTTGCCCCTCCTGCCTCCTCCTCGTGAGCAATGTTGAATAAATAAATTAAATACAAAAAAAACCCCCTGCGCTTTCTATACCAGCAGGAAAGTGTCTCTTCAGAGTCCAGCTCGCTGTGCTGCCG